TACCTTGAATCATTAGACTTGGGGTTGCATCAGAGAAACTATATTATCTGGTACCACGGGAACTAGTGAGTAAAAATTTCGAATTTATTTTTGACGGCTATTGGAAAGGTTCCTTTGGAGTGTACGTGGTTGTACTCAAAACGAGTGAAGAAAATATTGGTTTAAAGCACGGTGAAATCTCTATATAAGGATAAGTTCGGAGCTGTTGAAGAAATGGTGCTAAATACATATGAGTTGATGTCAAATTAATGAGTTTAGTTTAGTTTAAAAGGGTTGTAAACCACACGCAAAGGGTCCATTGTGATACCCTTTGTCCTTTACCCGAATACCCAAGATATTCCCCTGATGAAAAGTAATTTGACGCCTAAGTCACATCCTGCTACATCTTCCAGTTCATCGTGGAATCTTCTACTTAGCCATGTCAGTCTCAGACTCTGTACTCTGGGACAGCTGCACAAGATATGCCCTACTGTTTCCAGTTCCTCTTCGTCGTCACACAACCTACAAAAATCCTGCGTGTTACCGACCCAATTTCACAATTTCTCAGTGGCACTAGTTATTAAGGTCCTTATGCACTTCCTGTCCAATCCTAATAGTATTCTGGTTGCTTTTGGGTTTAATTTCGGCCATAGTGCCCTCGAAACCCTGCAATCCAGCCTACTGTGCCAGGATCGGTTGGTAGAGTTTTTGAATTTTTCAGAGATTATTCTATAGTAATAACAGATAGGGAGTTTTACAGAACTATACCTACTATTAAGATCAATCTCTGAACCCTGTCTGGCCAATTCATCTGCGATCTCGTTCTCTCGAATAACACAGCCTCATTGCGTATAACCTGACTAGAATGTAACATGTGACATTGCAGAGCTTTAAGTACTGCCTGATTATCAACATCTTAATGATATCCACGGTTTTCCAGATCGCCAAGATCTCCGCCTGGAAGACGCTACATTCGTCCGGAAGTCTATAGGACACTCTTATGTTATACACTCCGGCCCCTGTACCAGATTCCATCTTGGATCTGCCAGTAAAGACTGCACACCCCTCAAACAGTACTTCGGACCCAATCCACTCATCCCTACTAGGAATCACTATTGAAGGTGCAACTCCGAAGTCGAAGTCCAAATAGTCACTTCCCTCAATTCCTGTTAGACCTACTTCGTACGAGTGGCCTAACCGCTTTGGTCTTACTAGAACTGATTCGAACAGTCTAAATAAGTTCCTAGCCGCTACACTCTCAACATATTTCTCAATGGGAAGCAGATTTAGAATAATATCCAATGTCGCCTGCGGTGTGCTACCCTGGCACTAGTTATGCCGATTGAAGTACACCTTTGGGCTATAGCTACTTTTCTTCATCCCCACCCACCGACGTGTAAATCCAATCATATCTGGCCGCAAGCCCCAATTCTTACCAATAGAGTTTCTACACATGTAATAGGCGTTGTGACCCTTTTTTAGTCTTTCCTGTATATTGTTCTTCCAAGAAAAGGTTTCTACACATGTAATAGGCATTGTGACTCTTTTTTAGTCTTTCCTGTATATTCTTCTTCCAAGACAAATTGCTGTCGAGGAAGATCCCTGAAAACTTCGCCTCTTCTGATAAATTCAGTCCAAAACTCCCTACTTTATACTTCTTAGTGAAGAGAACTAGCTCGGTCTTAGATGGATTCACGCTCAATCTATTGACATTAGCCCAGGTTGATAGTTCACTTAATGCTGATTGCATGACCGCACTGACTGTTGGGAGAAATTTACACTTAACCAGTAACACAACGTCATCCGCATAAGCGACTATCTTCCTAAATTTAGATTCAAAGATCCTAAGGATATAGTTGACCGCTAGTAATCATAGTAGGGGTGATAACACTCCTCCTGTGGTGTACCCTTGGTAACTCGTTTCCGAATCCTATCTTTCCCTATGGTTGAGTTGATAATTCTGCTATCAAGCATCAATACTGTCTAACTCACTACGAAATCCTGAGCCCCGAGTTCGACAAGCGACAAGTTAAAGGCGCCCTCTATGTCCAAAAACGGGGCAAAAGTATATTACCTATGCTCCAAGCCCTTCTCAATACAACCAACCACCTCATGTAGCGCACTCTCAACCGATTTACCCTTTAGGTAGGCATGTTGAGAGCTGCTAATAAGGCGGGTATCCATATTGCTCTTGAGATAGAGATCTATTAGACGTTATAAGATCTGATAGGCTTAAAATCCTTGGGTTTCGAGTGGCATGCTTTATAGACCTTGGGGACAAAAATTACCCTCACCTCTCTCCACCCTCTAGGAAGGTATTTCGTAAGGAGACACCTCTTGAATATATGAGCTAAAATCGCTAGTGCGGCTTCAGGAATGTTACAGAGCATGGCCGGAAAAACACAGTCCAGACCCGGCGATTTATACGGATCAAAGGTGTTCAGCGCCCAGCACAGTTTGTCCCTAGTGACTATTTCATCAATATGACTAGATGAATAGCTAGAATCTATAAGTCCTTGGACCCCCTGAACTTTATCCCTATCACCTATATCAGCACAACCTGAAAAGTGCATTTCCATAAGGAAGGAGAGTGTCTCCGAGCTAGACTCCGTCCATGAGTTGTCCTCACGTTGAATTGTATAGTAAACCTTAATTATTTCATTCTGAGGAGGCTTCTAGATCCAAACCCATTTACGGAATTTCGAATGGAAGCTATTGTTGTGATTAGAAAGGCCGCTTTTTTCATTCATGTGTTTCAATCGGAGCAATGTCCAGCTAAGTATTATAACTACACGAAGGATATGATAATTATTGGCATTTAAGCTTTGATTCCAGACGTACCGGAAGTATGAGTTCAAATCTGCTATGTGCAAAGTATGATTTAACTCTTTCACGTATATGGGACACAAGTGTCTCAAGTTTTTTCTTTAATTTTTCTCGATGTAGAGCGAAATTTAAGTTCACAGCTACATTAATTTTCATAGAAAACTGAACTCTTTTAAGGAATTTGATGACACTGCATGCTAAAAAGGACAATATCCTGCGATATCCTTCGAAAACACTTGGATTCTGCTTATAACTTAGCCTAGCTATAGTGGTCGTGGCACCTTCCATATGAAGAACATCTTAAATTAGATTAGCTCAGAAAATGTAACAGTAAGAGTCTTAAAATCTTGTCAGAATCACTTTAGTGTCAGTATGAGTATTTAAGATAATAAATAGGCTGACTAGCAATAGAAGGCGTGGCACCTCCCATATGAATTAAATCCAAAAATTCTTATATCTGTGAAACTATTAAAGCTAGAACCTTCAAATTTTGTATGAAGAATTTTAACATCCATCTGGGGCTGTTAAATGAGCGGACTGTCTATAGGGGCTTTGGAACCATATTTGGGTAGTAAATTAGGGGACTAGCGTGGTACCTCCCATATGAATTAATTCATAAAATTCGAATATCTGGAAAACTGTTAGTGCAAGAATTTTCAAATTTTGCTCGAAGATCTTTAACATTCATATGATCAGTTTGGGGTAAACATCTGTACAAAAGATCGAAAACAGGATCGGGGTGCTTAGTGCCCTTTCTAATCTACATCAGAGGGACTTGGTACCTCCCATATGGATTAAATACAAAAATTATTTTATCTGAGAAACTATTAGATCTAAAACACTCAAATTTTGCACCAACAACTTTGACATCTATATGAACATTTAGGTAGTAAGTTGGCGGACTAGCAATTGGGGTATTGGAATCTCCCATATGAAGAACATCTTAAATAAGATTAGCTCAGAAAATGTAACAGTAAGAGTCTTCAAATTTTGCCAAAAACACTTTAGTGTCAGTATGAGTATTTAAGATAAAATATGGGCTGACTAGCAATAGTAGGCGTGGCACATTCCATATGAATCCAGAGATTCTTCTATCTGGGAAACTATAAGAGCTGGAATCTTCAAATTTTGCTCGAAGAACTTTAACATCTATCTGAAAATTTCGGGGAAAATAAGCGGACTTACATTAAGGATTAAAATTACATTTGAATAAAATACAAATACGAAATCTGCACCAACAACTTTGACATCCATATGAACATTGGGTAGGACATGGACGTACTAGCAAACTGAATTAAATACAAAAATGCATTTATCTCGGAAGCTATTAGAGCTAGAACAGGTATGTATAGCTACTTTTCTTATAAAATTAAAAACACATTTAATATTATTTTTTATTATCAAAATTAACTTAAAATTTGTCTTTATTTTTATTTAAAAAAATATATATGCTTATAAATCAATAAGAAAAATAACACATAAATTATTAATTTTTTTTTTAAATAAAAATATAACGTTGCTTTTTTACAATATCCGAAAAAAAATAATATAATTACATTTTCAAAAATAAAATTGTATGAGTGATTTTTTTGTTGTTGTTTTTTTGACCAATTAAAATATTTGTATATAATAAAGAAAATAATTAAAATAATTTTTGTTTAAAATTTTTTTTAAAATATGAAAGTTTTCAAGATGAAAAAAATATATAGTTTTGTTCAGCTTGTTGTTTTTTAAACTAATAACTACAATAATAATAATAAATAATAATATTAATAATAAAATTAATAATTAAGAAAAAATAAAGATAATAATAAATGTAATATGATAAAATGAAATCATATTAAAAATTTAGCAAATAATAATTAATTTTAATATTTTATTTATAACTTGAAACACGCCAGTAAAAGAACAACCAGGTGGAATGTATTGAAATTTAAATAAAAAATCTTACAGTGAGAGAAATTTTGTTTAAATAAATAAATGTGTTTTAAAAAATGAGTTTTAGTTGTTTTTTCGTTGAATTTTGAAAAAATTTTTGTTGTTGTTGTTGTTGTGAGCTGGCAAGTTGATGATGCAGCATATGATTTGATTTGGAATTGGAATGAAATTTTATTGCTTAATTACGAGGGTTTTTGTTACTTTTAAAGATCATATTTTTTTTCTTGTGTATTTTTTGTTTTTTGTCAAAATTTCCACTTAATTAATTGTTTTTTTTTTTCAATATTTTTTTTTTGTATAAATTAAAACTAGGGGTTTTTTTATATATATATAAAAATAAATAACTATTATATAAAATTTATAATAATAATAAAGAAAAAAACAAATGCACAAAATAAACAAATTAACGGTTTTGTCTTCTTTACTTCTTGATTTTGTTTACTTCTCTCAGACAGCTGTCGTTTAATATCATTCCGCCTGTTTGATCTCATTTAAATTGCGACACTGGGCCTCAGCTGCCGCATCTAATTGTTCCATTTTGAAAACTTTACTCTTAAGACCACACAAGATTTCAGCGGTGGCTATGCTCTTTACCGTACTCAAATCCAATTGTAAATGATTGTTGTTATTGTTGTCATTATTATTATTGTTCTTGTCATCTTCACTCTCAGCATGATGATGATGTGGATGTTGTTGTTGATGGTGGTGCTGCTGCTGATGTGCTGTTTCTTGTTGACTGTGTTCCATAGTTTGTATTTGTTCCGTTTCCGCCGTAGTACTCGTGGTAACAGTTGCTGTTACTGGTGTCGTTGCCGGCGCATTGTGTATTTGATATTCATGCTTCTGGTTAATGGCATTAATCAGGGCCAAGTTTTTCATATTCGTATTATTGTTGTCATCAATTTCAATGGCTTCCTTTTTGCACAGATTGTTATTGTTAATGTCATCCTCATCTCTTAGTTGGGCACCATTATTTATGCTAGCCCCATCTGATTCAGAAGTTTGTTCCGTATCGGTTAAGGGTTCATTTTCAACAATTTGCAAAACATCACTGGGTTCTTGTATCAAGTCCGTTTCACTCTTTTGATAATCATGAGCATTATTTTGCACTAAATTTAAAGCTTGCTCCTCTACCACGGGATTTGCATGATTGTTCTTGTTATTTTGTTGCTGCTGCTGTTGTTGTTGTTGCTGTTGTTGTAACTGTTGTTGTTGCTGTTGTTGTAGCTGTTGTTGCTGCTGTTGTTGTTGCAGCAGCTGTTGCTGCTGTTGTTGTTCTTGATTGGCCTTTAGATGATTTTCCATTAAACGTATTTTGAAATTATTATGTTGTGGTTGTAGTTGTGGCTGCGGCTGTGGTTGTGGCACTGTTTCTGGTATATTCATTTCCTTATTATTGTTAGCATCATGTTCCATTCTAAAGTGTTCCAATTCCTTGCGACGTTTCTCATTCATCTCTTCGTTATAGTGCATTAGTATCTTGCGTTTAGCCAAATATTTATGCTGTTTACGTGCCGTATCCATTAGTTTCTTGCTGTTGGCATGCAAAAGATTGTAACCTTCCTTGCTGAGGACTTCACCTATACTATTGCTGTTCGGTAAGTGATTGTAGTTTTTGGTAGTGCAATTATTGTTATTACGACTGAGATTTTTCATAAAGGTTTCGGCTAAAGTGGCCTTCGATTTGATGTGATCACGGAATGAGGTGAATGTCTGCACTGGTAATGGTGTTGTGCTGCTGGGGCCGCTGCCATTCTTGTGAGCTGCAGCACCACCGTTCATGGTGTGTGTGTCGTGTAGAGATTTACGGGGATCATAGCCTTGTCCGGTAATGTTGACACTGTGGGTTCCGCGTTCGAAGTGACATTCGGTGGATTCGTTATCGGGAGAAGAGCTGCTATCCTTGTTTTCGTCGTCCATGTTTTTCTAGTTAGGGATAGAAAAGAGAGATTTAATGTTATTTCACACTCTACGATCCAACATATATTTGTAATTTAGATCAGAAGACTCTAAATTAGGAGAATTTTGCTGATGTTTAAGATCTCGAAATTACAGTTTTATAAATATCAGTCTGTACGATCGCTGTAACAAACTTTTTATAAAAAAAACTTACCTCTGTGTGTAGACCCTTGATTTTCATGGCCTCAGCCACTTTTAGGAAAACCGGTAAATCTTCATATTTCACATTAACCTAAAAACAGGAAAACGCCATTAATTTCTAAACCCTCTAAAGAAGAAATATTTATATTTAATTTTTACTTACCTGACCACTGTACATAAAATCCAATAAACCGGCCATATGACTGGCCTCAACATCAGCCATTAACAAAATCGGATGGCTAGAGGGATTTTCCAAAAAGATCTGTTGAAAATAAGGACTGCAAACGGATAAAACCTAAACGAGAGAGAGAGAGGACATGCAAATTAAAGAGAATTCGAGTCTAAAGTTTCACAACAAAACCTACCAATTTATGGGCCTTGAAAATTTTCCCCCCAGCAGCTATGGTAACATCCACCATTTTTTCGTCTTTCTGGAGAGTATGGAAGCCACGACACATATTACCATGGAAATTGTTCCAGGACAACAGGTACTGATCGATGGTATTGGGATCGGTAAAGGGTTGTTGTGAGTGTTTCTGTTGTTGCTGTTGCAATTGTTGTTGGGCTGCTTGATGTTGAGCCGTCTGTAAATGTATCTGTTGAGCTGTGGTAGTGGGTGTTGGTGTGGGAGTGGGTGGTGATTGTTGAGGATGATGGAGTTGCTGTTGTTGTTGCTGCTGTTGCTGGATAGCTGAGGGTGAGGTTTGTGGTGTAATATGGGGTGAATGCAACAACTGTAGTTCACGACGACGTTCTTGCTCTTGTTGCAATTGCTGCTGCTGTTGTTGTTGACGTTGTTGCTGTTGTTGTTGTTGCTGCTGCTGTTGTTGTTGCTGCTGTTGTTGATGATGATGTAGTAATTGTTGTTGCTGTTGCAGAGCAGCATGTAAACTAGTGGGCGGCGGCGGTGTTGGTGTAGCTGCTGCATGTGGTACCAAATGAGCATGATGCTGTTGTTGCTGCTGCTGCTGTTGTTGGACGGCTTGTTGTTGCTGTTGTAGAAAACGTTGTTGTTGAGCTGCTGCTACAGCTGCTGCGGCCGCCACAGCCTGTTGTTGCTGTTGATGATGTTGACGAGCCTGTTGCTTCAATTTAGCCATATTTTCCTGTTGTTCTTGCTGTCTCAAGAGTTCATCCTTAATCTTATACTGTTGCATGCTCAAATCATCTACACTCTTGGACAACTTGATGGCTTCATTGCTGTTGAATTTA